ATGTGTCTACTGGCCATTTGTGTATCTTCTTTGGAGAAATGTCTATGTAAGTCCTTTTCCCATATTTGAATTGGTTTGTTGTAGTGGTTCTTTATATATTTTGGATATTAATCCCTTATCAGATACATGATTTCCAATATCTGTGAGTTGTCTTTTTGCTCCTTTTTTCTTTTCTTTTTGAGACAGTCTTGCTCTGTCACCCAGGTTGGAGTACAGTGGTGTGATCTCAGTTCATTGCAACCTCTGCTTCCCAGCTTCAAGTGATTCTCCAGCCTCCTGAGTAGGTGGGATTACAGGTTTGGCCACATGCCTAGCTAACTTTTGTATTTTTAGTGGAGATGGGGTATCACCATGTTGGTTAGGCTGGTCTTGAACTTCTTAGCTCAGGTGATCCGCCTGCCTCAGCTTCCCAAAGTTCTGGGATTACAGGTGTGAGCCACTGCACCTGGCCTTTTTGCTCTCTTGTAATGCACAAACGTTTTAAATTTATATCAAGTCCAATGTATTATTTTCTTTTGTTGCCTGTGCTTTTGGTTTATATCCAAGGAATCAATACCAAATCCAATGTCCAAAGAAGATTTCTTCATATGTTCTTCTATCTTCTTCCTCTTCTATATCCAATCCACAAATACAGTATATCTTTCTATTTAAGTCTTAAAATTTCTTCTGCAATGTTTTGTAGTTTTCAATGTACACGAGTTCTTGTTTTGTTTCTTTGCCTCCTTGGTTACATTTCTAAGAGTGTTATAGTTTTTAACTATTACGTTTAAGTCTTTAATCCATTTTAATTTTTGTATATGGTAGATGGTAAATGACCAACTTCATTCTTTTGCAGGTCAATATTCAATTTTCCCAGTACTAATTGCTGAAAAGACTGTCCATGCCACATGGTCTTAGGACCCTTGTCAAAAACCATTTGACCATAAATGCAAGAGTTTATTTCTGGTCTCTTTATTTTTGTTTATTTTTGAGAGAGAGTCTCGCTCAGTTGCCCAGGCTGGAGTGCACTGGCTCAATCTTGGCTCACTGCAACCTCTGCCTCCCAGGTTCAAGTGATTCTTCTGCCTCAGCCTCCCGAGTAGCTGGGATTACAGACACCTGTTACCCAACCTGGCTACTTTTTGTATTTTTAGTGGGGACAGGGTTTCACCATGTTGGCCAGGCTGGTCTCAAACCTCCTGAACTCAAGTGATCTGCTTGCCCCGGCCTCCCAAAATGCTGGGATTACAGGTATGAGCCATTGCATCTGGTCCCCTATTTCTGGTCTCTTTACACTGCTTTACTGTAGCTTTGTAATAAGTTTTGAAATCATGAAATGTGAGTCCTCAAATTTTGTTCTTTTTCAAGATTGTTTTGGCTATTTGGGGTCCTTTAATATTCCATATGGCTTTTAGGATGAATCTTCCTTTTTTCTTTTTTTTAAATAGAGAGAGTCTCGCTAGGTTTTCCAGGCTGGACTTGCACTCCTGGCTCAAATGATCCTCCTGCCTCAGCCTCCTGAGGAGCTGGGACTACAAGCTCATGCAACCATTCCTAGCTGGATATTTCTACTTCTGCAAAGACCATTGTTGAGATTGTGATAGAGATTGCTTTGAATCTATAGATGGCTTTGGGAAATATTGTTATGTTAACAATATTAAGTCTTCCAATCCACGAACACAGGATATCTTTCCATTTAAGTCTTAAAATTTCTTCTGCAATGTTTTGTAGTTTTCAATGCACATTTTTTTTTGCCTCCTTGATTAAATTTGTTCCTATTTTATTCTTTGTGACGCCACTGTAATAAAACTGTTTCCTTATTTTTCTTTTTGAATTTTTCATCTTTGGTACATAGAAATACAACTTGCTTTAGTGTTGATTTTGTATCCTGCAACTTTGCTGTAAAAATACTTTTTATTTACTCAATATTTATTTAAAATGAATGAATCCACACATTGATGTGCATTTATGTAAGTTAGAGATACACTGCAATCATGGCATTAACATCTTCCACAACTTCTAAACAAATAAATATTTTTATTTGATAATCTACAGAAGGAAGCTAAATGTGGGAAAAATATTTACTTTTATTCTTTAATCATCCTCATTTTCCTTTGTCTTCTCAAATTCTGCCATTTATTGACCAATCTTCCCACACCCCTTCCTTGAAACATGTGTCTCCCTTGGCTTTGGTAACATTGCATTGCCCCAATTTTTCTCCAATTTATCTGACTACTACTTTTTTTGGTGTCCACCGGCTCATTCTTCTCCTACTTCCAATTCCCTGCTCTTTGAGTGTGCTCTAAGATTTTGTGCTCAGTTCTCTGTTTTCTTCTCTTTGCATTTGCCTTCTTTAGATTCTTCCTTTCACAAAACTTCATCTATTTCCATTTTAATGACTCCCCTTAACAAGTATACAATAGGCAGTGAGCATATGAAGAGCTGCAGAACCTCTACACTAATGAAAGGAATGCATATTAAAATGAGACAACTTTATAACCATCAGATTTACTAAAATCAGAAAGTTAGACGACACAGGTCTATAATCACATATATGAAACTCCGAAGATGTTTCAAAACACATAATGTCTCATATTTTAACAGGTATAGACACTGTACATGGCATAGGGAACAGTATCCTGTAACCAAGTATATTAACATTTCTACAATAAAATGTATCAACATTCATATTTAGTATGATAAAGACTATAAGCAGCCTCATCTTAGTTCAGGTAAAATTTTACAGCCAAATGGATTTGATGTAAATTTATATTTTAAAAAACTTAAGGTTTTCACACTTTTTGGATTTTAGAAGTGGGCTAGCTAGTGTTAAAGAAGCTTTACATACTGCAGATGAGAATGTGAATTACTGCAACTATTCTGAATAATAATCTGGAAGTACTTCATGAAGTTAAATAATGGTATGCTCCATGACTCAGTAATTCCAGTCCTAGGCATGAACTCTAGAAAAGGTTTGTACAAATGGTAGAGGAGATGGAGGTAACCTAAGTGTTCACAAGCAAAATGTAAAGAATATTTACATCATCAGAAGCAATAAATCTGGTGTTCATGTAGATTTTAAAAAGCAGAAAAAGATCTGTATTAACATGCCACTTAAATTAAAATCACATACATACACAAAAAACAACATATAATATTCAAGGATTTATATAAATATAATAGCATGGCTGCAATTGAATGGGATTGAGGATAAAGGGAAAAGTAACAAACTGAAAGGAGCTTTACACAGACCAATCTGTATATACCGAGGAGTGTTACCAATTCAACTCTCCTCACCTACATATACCGAGGAGTATTATTAAATTAACTATCTTCACCTAGGGCCCAGAGGGAGCGAGGAAAAAACATAATCACTTTTGTCTACCTATGTATAAATATAAACCCATACATTCATATGTGCAATGTCATAGATGATGGAACACATTCATTCTCCATTTATGCTCTAGTCCTAAATACTTAACTGGGGTTGGCATATACTATAATTTTAGGGTCTGAAGAGAAATCTAGCCATAAATTACTTTTAATTAAAATTATTTTTATTACCACCTATGTTCCTTCCTCTTCTTTATTCTACGTAAAGCTGCTGGAGACTATGACACTGTCATCATCTGGTTGTCAGGTAGAAAAGGGATACCCAGAAATGACATTTATCTTTTGGACAGAAGCCCAATTTCCATTTTATCTTCTCATAGAGTATAAACATATAGCTTTACACTATTTGTGAATTATCATCTCTGACTAGAAAATGCACACAGACTTATTTGTCCAAAGGAGTCTATCGGTAACTCCATTATTAAAGGAAATGCAATTTTTTAGCGTTTTGTAAATACCAATGGTATCGAATAATGTTCAATATCTGAATCATTATACAACTCGATAACCATAAAAACTGAGAAGTTCCAAAACTATATTCCTCCCCTACTCTTCTTATCTCCATACCTAACTATAAGAAAAGCATTAGAACAGTGTCCCAAAGAGTAATCATAATACTTTAATACTTTCTAGTCCAAAATGCATTAGTAGGAAATACTACTCTAGAAAGATCACTCAAAATTTTGAATATGATGAAAGATTTCCTGAGCTAGAAATATCCTATATGATTTTCATAGCAAGAGGTGTTGAATCATAACAATACATATAAATGACGATGGCCTGTCTCCTGAACATATGGACCAGTAGTCCATGTCTGGTTCTGATGAAATGTTTACCTAGAGTCTATTAGAGATAGTAAACCACATAATGTCCCATCAGCATTGCCTTTATCAGAGTGGTTTTAGTATCTGCTGCAAACTGCTAATTGGGTTGAAGATTATTTAGATATATTTCTAGTACTAAGTAGTCAACTAGGATCTTCAGGAAAAAAAAGGTATTAGAAAATCCACAAGGAAAAAATGAAATGGAAAATTACTTTGCTTTAATACTTCCAAGTTTCAAGTTCTTTTTATGCCCAAGCTTGCCATAAAAATGTATTAGTCTAAGGTTTCAAATCATAAGCAAAGAAACACCATTTTTCTATTTTGCAGAAGGTAAAAAAACAGGGATGTCTTATTGACAAGAAGAAAAAGTCTAAAGGGGCTCGGAAAACTAACTGATACATGGTTTCCACAAATAGACCCAGAACAACTCAAATCATAACTCTTTTTTCCACTTAATCTAATCTCATCTTTCTTTCATAAAACTCTCAACTATACCAGCAAGGAATGAACTACTTCTGTTGGTAGATAATGTACATGAATTTACAGATAGAAGTGGACGGATTTTTTTTTTTTTAATCCACTCCTTATTCTGATAAGAAGTGCTTAAGCAGGGAGGAATGCCTTTCATTTTGTTTACCCTTAAGTTTCTCTCTCCAGTATCATTAAAAAGACAAGGAAAGTTTTATATATACATCTCAACAATTCAAAAGCAGAATTTTTGAAAACCTTAAGCATGTGTAATTATTTTTAAAAGGTAAAAAGAAAAAAAAGGACACAAAATTATCAATATAAAAACCAACTCACCAATGATGCCACTATCTCTGCTTTCAAGGGTAGAAGTTGGACTAGTAACAGCCCCATAGCTGCAATCCTTGGCAGTTGCATTTGTACTGATGGGTGGGAGTGTAGAGCAGGGGCTACTGGCTGGTGGAGAGGCAGTGCTGCTAGTCAGGGTGGAACAGGGACTTATCCGCTGGGTGATTGCTGAGGTCTGAAAAATTGGAATCATGAATAAGTAAGATAACCTGACCGGCTGTTAAAGTATATTTTAAGATAAAATAAATGCTTTGATGGAAGAAAAAAACTACATGCATAGCTCTTGCATCTATTAGGTGCTATTTGTTTTTGCTTCTCGGATAAGGACTTTGGGGTCTACAAATTAATGTGAAACTTGATGAATTTAACATTAACAGAGACTGTTGCCAATTTTTCTGCCTATTAAATTTCCAGTGACAAGTGCCCTATCATTGCCATTCATTAACAGGATAGAGAATGTTTTTTTTTTTTTTTTTTTAATTAAATCAAGTTTTCCTTGTTATTTGGAAGTTTTCCTTGCAATCAATAAAACTTTTTGGAAGACCTGGAAGTTTGCATTGTTAATACTTTTCCTTCCTTCCTTACCTCCTTCCCTTCCTCTTTCTCTCTCTTTTTCCTTCCTTTTTTTTCTTTTTGAGATGGAGTTTCACTCTTGTTGTGCAGGCTGGAGTGCAATGGTACAATCCTGGCTCACTGCAACCTCCGCCTCCCAGGTTCAAGCAATTCTTCTGCATTAGCCTCCTAAGCAGCTGGGATTACAGGCATGCGCCACCACAGTTAACTAGTTTTGTATTTTTAGTAGAGAGGGATTTCACCATGTTGCTCAGGCTGGTCTCGAACTCCCGACCTCAGGCCATCCACCCGCCTTGACCTCCCAAATTGCTGGAATTATAGGTGTGAGCCACTGTGCCCAGCCAATAATTTTCTTTAGATGGAGGGGAAAAAAAAAATCCCTACAGCTGGGAAGAAATAAAGTTCTTAAAGCAAAGAAGTGTCTTTTTGATACACAGGCAGCTGTCCAGAGACAATAAATGAATGCATGGAAAAAATGCCTTATTCTAAAAGTTTGTCCAATAAAATAGAATACTATTATTTAATACAAACCTAAATAACTTCTCTGTAACAGCATTACAGCCTGAGATTGCTTTGTATCCTGTCCTGAATGATTCTTACCCTTGAAGTTATTTGTTTCAATATGTAACACTGAAGTTTTCATGTGAAGGAATGAGTAATTACTTAAAAGGTTGGTGGTAATATATTCTTGGTTTACCTAATTGAATGACAATTCACTTTTCTTCAACTCTTTCTACACAAATAAATTACTACAATAGTGAATAAAAGTATATTTTTTTCAAACACATTTTATGCCCTGAAGTATGGTTAGCCTTGTGGATTCTGCAGAATTTTCTCTTTTTTTTTTTTTTTTTTGAGACTGAATTTTGCTCTTATTGCCTAGGCTGAAGTGCAGTGGAATGATCTTGGCTCACTGCAACCTCTGCAGCCCAGGTTCAAGTGATTCTCCTGCCTCAGCCTCCCGAGTAGCTGGGATTATAGGCACCTGCCACAGTGCCCGGCTAATTTTTGTAGTTTTAGTAGAGATGGAGTTTCACCATCTTGGCCAGTCTGGTCTTGAACTCCTGACCTCGTGTTCCACCCACCTCGGCCTCCTAAAGTGCTGGGATTACAGGTGTTGAGTCACCACGCCTGGCCTACGTTTTATCCTTTTTAAAATTATTACGTGATCAGCAGCAAAATTACTGGAAGACGTACTAATGATAAATTTAACATCTTTAAATGTTATATTTAAAAGAAGCCTTTCAACTTCTTTATATATGGAGTCTATTCATAGCCTTTCTGCTAAAATTTAATAACTGGGGAATATGTTGATAACTAGCTATGTGAATATTAAGGCTTTTCAACTCATCCTAAGATGATTTCTAGATGCAGTCAATTGTATTATCTGTGCTGAATCTAGGTTTTGATTTTGTATCATCTGTGTTAAATCTAGGTTTTGATTTTAATTTAAATACTATAACCAGGTTACAAAAGATACATTTGGCTCAACCAAGAACAGATGACATTTTAATTACCCTCCAACCAAATAAATCTTTTCAATCATATCAATAATGTTAGAATCTGATTTTTCTTAACAACAGAGTAAGCTTTCAAATTTATCCAAATTTCTCTTCCACTATATGTTATCTTTCCAGAGAAGGGGAGAGTTTCAATTTGTTCATAATCTCTATTTTTATAATATGATGCTGGTCTCCCAGAGAAAAGATTCTTTTTTTTTTTAACCCTTAATTTTTTTTTCCCCTTACAGAGCAATGATTCTTAACTAGGCACACAGTAATATCACTTGTGCCGTATAAAAAAACAAACATGCAAGCTCTCTCACAAAATTGACAGACACTGAGCCCCATCCAGATTTACTGAATTGGAATCCTTCAGGTTAGAAATTCGGCAAACAATTTTTAACCTCCCACTCCCAGTTTGAGACGCATATGGGCAGATGAAATGAACTGTAATCAGGTCTTTTACATTAGATATAGCTATAGTCACCCCATATTGGAAAAGTTTTTGGCCCGATGTGGTAGCGTATGTCTGTAATCCCAGCACTTTGGGAGGCTTGAGGCAGGTGGACTTCTTAAGGCCAAGAGCTTGAGACCGGGCTGGCCAACATGGCAAAACTCCATCTCTATTAAAAATACAAAAATTAGCTGGGTGTGGTGGTGCATGCCTGCAGTCCTAGCTACTCAGGAGGCTGAGGCATGAGAGTCACTTGAACCCAGGAGGCAGAGGTTGCAGTGAGCCAAGGTCATACACTGCACTTTCGCCTGGGCAACAGAGTGAAACTGTCTCAAAAAAAAAGGAAAGTTTTAATATGGTATGAATCTATTACTTTTATAACAACTCATTTCTGTTCTTAGACAAGATTCTCATCCTGTTCTTTGTTAAAGAAAACTGTATTAATGCATACTATAGACAATGTGGAGGTTAAGCCCAAACAGTACTTATTTTTACTCTAAGTTGTTTTCTGCAAAATAAAGCACATATCACAAAATGTATACTTTAAAAGCTTTAACTGTAAAAGCAAAGCTTAAATATCAAGCCATTTAGAAAACAGAAAATTGTTCATGGCTTATGACTTAAAAGGCAGGCGTAATGTTTATTTAAGGAGACTAGTTCATGAGCTAGAGAAAGACATTATCTATTCTCCATGCTGCAGGCTAAAATGAACATCTGTTTAAGCTACTGCACTTCCTAAACCTTTCAGTGTTTTTCCCATTGTCCTTAATGTTCTCCAGAAGGATCCTAAGAAAGCTCCCAGTCTGGATCTCTTAAAGGTCCTACAAATACACATAGCAAGAAGCTAAAGAGGAAATTCCTAAGATCCATTCAAACACCTTGGAAACTCCTGAAAGAATAAAGGGGTCAGGTAAATATCACTTCCATGCTTTGTTTTTTTACAAAAAAATGATACATGCTGACTTGCATTAGATTCTGTCATTACTAGTACTATTTTGAGAATATCATCACTACATCATCTTCTTAAACATGGCAGTTTATCTTTGTTAATATACTGCTTGGCTCAGAAGAAAGTCACCAAATTAACATGACCTCCTACTTCTTGATAATCTTCCTGAGATCAGAAATCAATTTAGCCACTTTCTTGTGTGGTTCCAAGATAGTTCCAGGGTATATTATATTGCAAGAAGGCTATCATTTAGCTTCATTATTAATATTTTACATTTGTTTAAAGCTTAACAATTTAAAAATATTTTTATATATTATCTCATTTACTCCTTATCAACCTGGTATGAGAGGCATACCACTTAAGAAATGTGAAAATGAAACCGACAAAAGTATGAAAGTTATGATATAATTTTCCCCAAATTGCACAGTTCCTGCATATATTTATGTACTAACTATGTTGCATATTATTTTATACTTTTTATTTCTATGGCATTTTACAGCTTACAAAGTATTTTCATATTCATGATTTAACTTGAACTTTCAACAGCCCTGTCAGGTGTTATTATATCATATTACACTGGAACAGTATGGTGTGGCTGTTAAGAACATAGGTTATAAAAGCAGAGTGTCTGGATATGAATACCATTCCATCACTTTCTGGCAGTATGTTTCCAACTCTTATTTGAAAATTGGAATATAAATGAACTCTACCACACTGGATTGTGAAGAAGCGTAAACAAAATGGTGCAAGTAGAACAATTAGTACAATGATTGGTACACAGCAGGTATTTAATAATTGTCAGTTATTATTACCTATGAAAAATATAAAGCTCCGACAGGTTAGGTGACATGTCCAAATTTACAAAATGGTAGGTGGCAGAGTTGGAACTAGAACACAAATTTTCTCCCTCGTGGTTCAATGGCTTTATTATACCATATTGCTTTAATTATATTAAAACAATGATACTGCTCATTTATTTAAGATTATGTTATCCAGTAATGTACAAGTAAGGTATACTCCATAGGCTTGTGACTTTATGTAGAAATCACTGTGACATGCAGACTCTCAAGAGCAACAAGTATACATTTTATCATCTAAGGAAACGTAGTCGTGTAGAAATGATAGTGTCCTTGAAAAATATTCAGGTTGTAAGATAAAAGACATCATGTTACCTGGTCATTATTAGAACAGTCACATTTTAACTTGACATGAATATCCAGATATGAAAAGTAAAACAGATGTTTTACTGATCCCAATTTTTAAAAATTCCTCAATACAGAGCCCAGCATATTGACATAGTTACATTATAAATTGATTTAAAAAATCATCAGCTCTGCCGTCACGAAACATACACTCGTCATGAGGTAAAACAACCTCGCAACTAAACACGCAATGTAATAACAGTTAATGGTAAGAGTTATGGAAAAATAAAGTAGAAGGATAAGGGGATATAGGGATGGGCAGGTGCAATTATTACAAGAGGAATTAAATGAGACCTCTCCAATGAGGTAACTTTTAAGCAGAACACTGAATAAGTGAGAAAGTGAGTTATGCAGGAAGAACATTCCAGTACAAATGAATATAATTGATGTGTCTGGCGAAAGACAAGGAAGCCAATGTGGCTGGAGAGCAGTGCATGAAAGGGAGAGGGGTAGGAAGTGATGTAGGAGAGGTAGCAAGTGGCTAGATCAGGTGCGGTCTTCCAGGGCATGGTAAAGATTTTAGATTTTACTCTAAGTATGATGGGAATACAGTAGAAGATTATAAGTGAAGTGACAGAATTGGATTCACATTTTACAATGATCACTCTGGCTACTGTGTGAACAGCTACAGGGGTGCAAGAGTGGAAGCAGAGACCTGTCAGGCGGCCATTTATTCATATAATAATACCTATTAAGCACCTAGTAATGACAATAATGTTCTAGGGGCAGAGGATACGGCAATGGGTAGAATAGGCAAAAATGCCAGCCTTTTAGCCTTACCTTCTAGTGCCTATTGCAGTAGCAGAGTCAAAAGATGACAGTAGCTTGGACTTGGGTATGGCAGTGGGAACAGTGAGAAGGGATCAGATTGGGTACAACAGAGTCTTTGATTTGCTGAAAGAGTGAATGTGGGTCTGAGGGAAGTCAAACGGCTCCAGTGCTTTTGTCCTAACCAAGTAGGTGATACCATTTATTCATATGGGAAACACTGCAGAAGGAACCAGTTCTAAGGAGAAATGCAAGGGTTCTGTTTTTGACATGTTAAGTTTGGGATACATTTTAAACATTAGGTAGAAAATATAATGTAGAAAGCTAAATATACAAATTTCAAGTAAAGGGGAAAAGGCAGGGCTAGAGATAATTAGGGAGTTAAGATAGTATTTAAATAAATAAGAATGAAGAGGAATCAGTAAGATTAGAGTCACCGAGTACCTTAATTTTACAAAAATTCCCCGGGTAATGACAGTGTGCAGCTAGCAAAACCAATAACCTAAAGAGTGAGGCTTGAGAAGACAGCCTTGAAACAGCTGAACATATCCACGTGATACATAAATATATTCAAATAATCCTTGTATATTTCATTGTGACAAATGTAATATATGATGTAGAATCTTCACTAATATTATTAAAAATATGCAATTTAAAATTTGTCACCTTCTGAATAAAACGCTTCACTATCAGATATTCATGTTGAAGATTAAGACCATATAAATGAATCTGACTCTAGTACTTTCTTTTGCTACATTTAAACTGAAAAATTGAAAATAGCAACAACAAAAAAGAGAAAACTATAAAATATTTTTTAAATTGCTGATTTTTTTTCGCTTTCTGAGATGGATACTTAGAAAAATCCCCAAATACTTAGATATTGAGTGATATACTTCTAATTAGCCTCTGAGTCCCAGAGGAAATCACAAAAAAATTAGAAAATATTTTAAACTGAAATAATAAAAACTAAGTATAACAAAACTTGTAGGATGTAGCCAAAGATGTGCTTAAAAAGAAATTGTAGTTTTAAATTTGTATTTTAGAAAAGTAGAAAATCTGAATTAATGATCCAAGTAATCTTTTAGATACCACTTTCTAAATCAACATTTTGTAACTGATAAATTCTACTGTGGTCACAGTAGCTGGAATCTTTGGAAATTTGTCAAGACCTGCTCTACGGCTCAGCATATCATCGAATTGGTAAATAATCCACATCCACTTGAAAAGAATATACATTCTGCAAATTTGGGGTGCAGTGCTTATATATCTGTCAGTTTTGTTGGCTTGCTCATTCATTCATTCATCAAATCAATCAAAACCTAAAAGTGGATGATTCATAAACTGAAGAAATAATTGTGATTATGGAAAATTAAGTTGTATTCTAGGCCTTAAAAAGCATTCAACAATTGGGATTATTTCTGGCATAATAAGCTGATTCACACCATGTTTCACAAAGGTGATCAGCTTACCTGATTTTCATCCTGTACTTCCATGCTGTATTGGTCACCTGGCTGAACTTCTGTGACTTTCTCTCCAAGGAGGAAACCCAGACGAGTCATGAGTGTGTTTGCTGCCTCATCTACAGATGGAGGGGGGCCAAGTTCTTGTTCGGCATCACCTGTAACAAGAAGGCATTGAAGAACATGAATCTTTCAAAATAAAATGGTTTAGTTCTGTAACTATTTGTACATTCACTTTGATCATTTCTTTAGTTTTCACATTTTAACTCAAAAATTACAAGGTTATGAGGTTTTTCTTGAACTACTCACTTTCAATATAAATTTGTTTCCAAATAAGAAATTTATAAGAATCAAATAAAATAGAGCCAGGGAACTCAAAATGATTATAAATGTGTGGCAGAAAAAATTTTTATCTAAAATAAGTATCTGTTTATGTTAAGTTGACTTACTGTCCACACGTATTCAGGATTTGTTTTAAATTCAGAGCATTTAATCTCACCTTGTAACAATCCACAGTAGCACAGATTTTAAAGGACAATACAAAAATCTTTTTATGGGGTCAGATATATCCTTTTAGCATTATTAACTGTAATGTCATATGGTTTGTTGCCAAAACACAACAGCATCACAAAACACAATCGTATCCCATTGTTTAGGATATTTAGTATTACACAGTAAACCACTCCAAATGCCAAGAAAGGTATGGTCTGCATTGTTATTATTCAATTTAACATGTATATTAACTTCTCTAATAAAGTCACGAGCTGGGAGTCAGAGATAGGGTATATGTGTACTTTTGCATATTAGTACTGAACTCAAGTGTTCCATCTGTGGAAAATCTCTATAGAACTCTCACTGAATCTATGTCAAAGTAGAAAAACAAGGCTCTATTCTTCCTCTCCTATTATCCTCCCAGAGGCAACATAAATAGATTTCTTTGCCACAGAAGAAGTAAAAAAATCAGTAGGGTTATTTTTATACTATAAACATTTAGATACTTAATTTTGTCTCAAGAATAATTTAAAGCTTCTTATTCTTTGATAAAATGAAAAGGTAAAACTGCTCACTTCAAATTAATAAATAACACTTTCCTCCCTCTTAAAGGTTAAACTAACTAATCTTTTGCAAATTTTTCTCATCATAGATTCCAGGCCTCTGGGGCTCTGTTTCACTGTCTCCTATAGAGTTATTCTGATAATTAATAAATGTTGTCTATATACATGGTTAATAACAGATACGAGAATTTATATAACACGGAGTTAGTCATTGACTTTGAAAACTTTACAATCAATATGAAAAATAAGAGTATATATTTAACATATACTTATATAATGCTTATTATGTATAAGTCACTAACATAAACACTTCACATATATTAGCTTACTCAACTTTAATAACTTTAGATACCACTTTCTAAGGTAGAAATTATTAACCTCATTTTACAGATGAAAAAATGGAGGCACAAAGAAATTAAATTATTTGCTCAAAGTCACACAACCAGTAAATGGTAGAGCCAGGATTACAACTTCAGCTCCCTGACTCCAGAATCTATGCTCCCAATTAGCAAGACACAGTGTCTTCCTCAATGGAAAGAAATGTTACAAATGGTGAGGATGTCTAAATAAGACATAACTTATTAACAGGCATACTGCTTATAGTATGTTAATCTCAATAATCCTAACAAAGCATGTTGTAAACATTAAGTAAGGTAATCAAACAAAGGTTCTTAAGAGATAACTGCAACCCTTTCTACGTTACTACTTTCAGTACTTCCAACTACTAATGCAGAAAGAAGTTCAAAAATTCTTCTGTGGGTGGCTATATTAGATACTGCTACCACACCAGGTCCTTTTCATTTGGTTTGACTGGTATTTTTACACCTTGCTAAATCTTTTTCTCTTCCTATTTACTTACCTCATCTCAAAATATCATTTGAGGATGACATTAATATGACATTATTTGTCATGCACTTCACAATGAAAGAAATCCGATACCAGGTTATGGTATGAAAAACCTGTCTTTGGCAATTACATTTGTTTTGAACTTTTCTTATTTGTTGATCTTGGGTAAAATTTTACACATTATGAAAAGCCTAGTAGATGAATCAGTGGAGGATTCTCAAGTAACAGACAGGGACCTAATTGTGAATCCATTCATCTTAAGTCTTAGAATACCAGTGGCTGCCTCTGTCTCCTCTTCCTTAAAGTATTCCAGGATTCCTGGTGGAAGAAAGTAGAAACAGTAGAGGCACCTCCTTTCTAGTTTCTAGATTACAGACTTCCCTGTCAGTACCTTCTTCCCGAGTTCATTTTCATTTCCTATTTTAAAATAAATTAAAAATAGTTCCTTCTGAAAACAAAAAAGGGTGGGGCTAGGCGCAGTGGCTCATGTTTGAAATCCCAGCACTTTGGGATGCCAAGGCAGCCAAGGCAGGTTGATCACTTGAGCTCTGGAGTTCAAGACCAGCCTGGGCAACATGATGAAACCCCAACTCTACAAAAAATACAAAAATTAGCCAGGTGTGGTGGCATGCACCTGTGGTCCTGGCTACTTAGGAGGCTGAGGTGGTGGAATTGCTTGAACCCAGGAGGCTGAGGCGGCAGTCAGCTGTGATTGTGTCACTGCACTCCAGTCAGGGCGACAGAGCAAGATCCTGTCTCAAAAATTAAAAAATATATATATTTTAAAAGGTTAGAATGTAGGACCAGATAAACAGCTTCTCACTTGTAGGAATTTATTAGTTTGGAGCAAAAGTAATTGAGGTTTTTCCGTTATGGCACCATTAAAGGTAATGGCAAAAACCACAATTACTTTTGTACTAACATAATAGTGTATTCAAATAGTGTATATTGAAATATGGTCAAAAAAATTCCTCCCTCCAAACCATTTCCTTTAAAATATACTTAAAATGTCAACGGGTCACACATTTTCATTTTTTCCTACTTAGTGTACATTGATTCTGTATTCTTCCCTAAATACTACCATTTTTCTTCCCTTTTTGCTTCATTTCTATTTCTGACTTGCAAGTAACTGTTATGATAAAACCTCTCTGCCTGCAAAATGAAGACAACCAGCAGAATAAAGTCTGGTCAGTGGAATAAAGATAGCCTTTCTCCCCCCAATTACAATTAACAATACGGCCATTTGAAGATCACTAAAAGGGACGGTTTTTTATGGAAATAGTGGTAGCTTAAGAGAGATAAATCCATGCATAATCATCAGGGTTACTGGGTTCTTAGTTTTTAAGAACAGAGACAATGATTTAAAAAAAATTTAAGAAAATTATTTGACATATTTTAAAGATTGTCTGGTCTTTGGAGGCAATACACATTTTAGAATGAGTTTCATCTATATTGTGTGTACCAAGTCTTTTTGGTTTTTTTTGGGAGGGGATTATGGTTTTCCATATTCATGGTTTTTGCGATATCAATACTCCCCAAATCAATCTACCAATTTAATGCAATCCTTATCAAAATTCCAGTTGCTTGCTTACTTGTTGCCTTTCCTTCCCTTAATCTTGCAGAAATTGACCAGCTGATAATAAAAATTATATGGAAATATAAGGAGCCCAGAATTAATAAAACAACCTTTAAAAAAACAGAGTTGGAAGACTCACATTTCCTATTTTCAAAATTTATTAGGATGCAACAGTAATCAAGGCAGTATGGTACTGGTATCCAACTAGACCAATGAAATAAACAGTCCAGAAATATACTCTTAGAATATGGTCAGTTGATTAATTTTTTTTGGGGGGGGACAGGGTCTCGCTCTGTTGCCTGGGCTGCAAACCCAGGAGGTGGAGGTTGCAGTGAGCCGAGATCGTGCCATTGCACTGCAGCCTGAGCGACAGAGCGAGACTCAGTCTTAATATTAATAATAATAATACATACATACTAAATGATTTCATTTATATAACGTTCAGAAACTGGTAAAACAAATGATGATGACAGAACAGTCGGTATATGTTTGTAGAGGAAGGATAATGATGCAGAGGACGCATGAAGGAAGCTTCTGAACTGCTGAAAACATTCAATATCTTGATTTGAGATGTGTTCACTGCATAAATTTTCATAGCAATGCATAATTATTATTTGGATTCCTTTCTGTATTTATTTATATTTTAATTTTTGCAAAATTACCGAAAATGTGTTAAGGACTTAGGACATTGACCTTAAGAATGAAACAATATTCTCAACAATACTTGTTTATGCTTTTTTTACTCTAAGAAATAAGTCTAAAATTAGGAAAAAAAAACACTATATATTTAAGCTATTTATTTAAATACTATTTAAGTTGTTCAGATGAGGGATACTAATTAAATATAAGGAAACTTACTACTCTAAATGCTTAGATTTTTTCATTTAAAGCTCTTGTCTTAATAAAGACATAATTTTAGAAATCAAGAGATTTCAAGGAAATTATATATGAAATATGTTATGGTTTAAATAGATCTTCAACCAGTAAAAGCTTTTATGTATTTCTTCCCACTTAGGAAAGAATGCACCAAACACATTTGCTTTTTTTTTTTCTTTGATGGAGTCTTGCTTTGTTGCCCAGGCTGGAGTGCAGTGGTGCGATCTCAGCTCACTGCAACCTCCGCCTCCAGGGTTCAAGCAATTCTCCTGCCTCAGCTTCTGGAGTAGCTGGGATTACAGGTGTGCACTACCATGCCTGGCTAATTTTTGTATTTTTGGTAGAGATGGGGTGTCACCATGCTGGCCAGGCTGGTCTCGAACTCCTGAAATCGTGATCTGCTCACCTTGGCCTCCTACAGTGTTGGGATTAGGCGTGAGCCACCGAGCTTGGCCAGCATTCCTTTTTAAAAAAAAAACAAATGACAAAGACCCAGTTTACCAGATTTACTTAAATTTTTTAAAACATTTTATATATTTAGGGAGTACAAGTGCAGATTTCTCACGTTATGACACAGCGCTGGAGTCTGGGCTGTTAGTGGACCCTTGAATATTGAGTGTGCAATATACTCAGTAGGTAAATGTTCGACCCTCTCAAATTTTACTTTTAAAATTTCAGCTTAACATTAAACAATTGTCAAAACTAAGTTGCTAGCATTCACCCACAACTAGAAAACATCCTTAATTTATATTGAACCATATATGTATTATCATGAATGCATTAATATCTTATATTACTAAATACA